TTATTTTTCTTAAAACATAGAACAGTAAATATAGAAGTAAAGCGAACAAATCTTTTCTAGTTCCGATCTTTATATATATATATCACAAATTACTATATCGATACTATAGAATTTCATTATAATTTATCAAACTTAGTAACTAAGCTGTATTTGGATCTAAAAAATTAGAAATTTCAAGCTACTAAAGACACAACCCACCTTGAAATCTTGGTTGGAAAGTACGAGATGGCATCCTAAAACTTTAAAATGGCTGAGAAAGCCACTATTGGGACATTCTGAGCTCTCAATTGGTTATTCAGTTTCAGTACAAGATCGATACCTCAGCAAATAGAAAAGATAGGAGGTTCTTAGTTTATATTCTAGCTTGTTAATATCAGTAATTTGAGTTCCTAATTCCTACAAAACAATAGAATTTGTATTTTGACATTACAAACATCTTAGTTGAACTAGTGTTGCATTCAACATACCATGTGACACAAAAATTGATGTTTAGGTGTGTTTTTTAATATTTATTTTTAAATAATACTAAAATTTGAATTATAATCTGCAGTTCTATATCAAACTTAATGATATAAATTCATAAAATAGTAGTACAATAACATTTTGAATGCAAGTCAATAAATGCGATAACATGGCCTTTGACCTCTGACCCTTGTGGAAAGGGTTAAGTTGGAGGCGTCCTTTTGTTCTTTTATGTAGTGAATCACTAGTCTTCTGGATAAATCTTTCAGGATTTTTAACTCTAGGCAGAAAACTGTCTTGTGGTTGACAGCAAAGTCGAGGCCTTTGTTCAGAAGTTGTAGTTCAGTGTCATTTAGTAGTTGAGCTGATCTATTGATAAGATTAGGTTGTGCTTCTTTGTTGTATCATCTTTCACATTGTTTAAGTTTTTTTGCCGTGTATAGGTTTCACTTGGTTTAACACTGAATTTATGTGGTTGATGGTGTGTTATATATTGTTGTATTTTTCTAGTTTGAGGTAACAGGCAAGTCAGCGGTTTAGTTCCTCTTGGTTTTAGTAAGTAGTTTAGTTCTTGATATTTGTAATTCAGGGTAGCTTTTAGAAGTTTTCATTCCATGTTTTGGATAATACCTGTAAACTGATTTATGTTTCTACATAGTTTGGAATTAAATGTTCAGAGCAGCATTGTCTGAGGAAGAAATTATCGTTTATCCTTTTGATGATCTTTACACTTATGTTACAAAGTTTAGAGATATTTGCACAGTACAAGTTGATTTATGGTGGTGGACAAGTAAATGGACAAGCTTACTAGAATGATATAAGTAGGACTTACAACAATATACATGATAGACTTACACATCCTCAAGTAATTGCTGTGATGAATTCAAATTTGATGTCAAGAAGCTCAGTTGTCTTGAATAGATAGTGAAAGAAACTTTATTAAAATGTACAATGATTTGACAAGCTTATGTCATCATCAGGTACAAGTAGTTTACACAGACACAGGAATATATATCCAATATGGAACAAGAGGTCACATCCCTGGAGATTGCTTGACAATTTGGTGTCATCATCAGGTACAAGTAGTTTACACAGACACAGGAATATATATCCAATATGGAACAAGAGGTCACATCCCTGGAGATTGCTTGACAATTTGGTAAAGGGTGATATTTTGTGACCTGGAACCAGAAAATCAGGAAATTCCTACATGTATACACAAAGTACTATATACAGTTTTGAAATGTATTTTAATAGGTGCTTAAATTTTGAAAGGTCCAAAATTTTTATCATATATGGTAATAATTTTATGTTGAACTCTTCATAAAAAAAAAATATTCATGATTAATAGCCAAACCCAATTTTTGCCACATTTAACATATAATTGTAAGTTTTTCTACCAGTATTTAAACCCGTTCTTTAACTTTACGTAAGTACTATATATAAAACAAACTTTGATCAGTGTTTATGCTAATTTTAATTATTGAAACTGAGTGAGTATGAATGGACAGTTGTACGCTGTTGCTAAAGTGATTTATTAAAAAAAACTTAATCTTATGTAGACACGGCCTACAGTTGGTTCAGTATTTAGAAATTATTATTATTACCCAATGTGCAAGAAGGCGATATATACTTTACTATCAAATTTATGGATAAGATGCTTGAATTATAGTAATTACTTGTCAGGTCACAGAAGACTTCTTTTTTTTTTTCCTTCCCTCACCTAGTTTTAATGTGGCTGAAATTCCCAGTAGAATTAAATTTTATTTCCATAACACACAACTCTGATGTCCCATCCTGTTACGTGTACACATCAGTTGGAAAAGATGACAGTTTATAAAATGTTTAAATATCATGCTGCTATTTGCTTAATATCCCATTACTTCATGTGAATAATCCAACCAAGGTTCTATAATATTCTAGCCATAATTTAGGTTGACTAATTTCTAACAAGCCATGCCAGGGAGTTAACTGTATGCATTCATGGGCCATTTTATGTTAGAAGTGGAACATTTTGGTGGGGATTGTGTGTACTTAGAGGCTTAGCATGCTGAATTATGAATATAAGAGTTCATGATTTGCATCTCATTACCACAAAAATGTGCTTCATACTTCGAGACCATGAATACACTGTGAGATTAACTGTCCAATCCTACTTTTCGATTAAAGTATGCTGCAAGTTTACAGTGAGTGTTGTTGACCAGCTGCCTTCCTTCTAGTCTTATCGGTTCAAAATTAAAGACGACAGATGCGGGTAGCCTTTGTGTAGCATTATGTGAATTTCTGAAATGAACAAAAACATCTTTGCTGTCTATAATTAAACTTAAAGATGATTGTGCATTTATGAATATATGACATTACCTTGACCACCTTTACAAGTAAATGAGTAAAGAAAAACATTTTTCCAAATCTTACAAAACCAATTATACATTGGTTTAATATTGGACACAAAAAATTGAAATGGTTCAGATTTTTGGACTTTTTTTTTTGTAATTGAAGTAAATATGTTTATTGTGGTTTTTGCTTATGAAATTGTAGTCTATTTGATAACTTTTTTTTAGAATTGGTCTTTTTACAGTTAAGCAAATTTGCATTAGGTTATTTACTAAGTAACTTTTGGGGTATGATAAAATACCTTGCATTAAGGTGATCCTTAGTAGAATTGTGTGGTTTTGACTTTTTTGTGAATGTAATAATCCATAATGTCTTACGACTATTTCCTGAAAATGTGAATTGTTGTAAAATGTAATCTTTGTCAATATTTTTTTGTGTAAAGTATTTTTTTTTCTGTTTTTTTTTTTTCAGACATGCTATATATCTGAAGTGATTGAAGAGATTAAATAAGGAATACATCATGGTAAGTTGCAGTTTTGGTATTTATTACCTGTATAATTTTATGCTTACATTTCATTAGGCATAACGACATAAATACCTTAACATTGATGTAGCATGGCTTCCCAAATTCGACCCGTTTTCGGTATGTGTATATATTTTGTACTTTTACATATTGTAATGGTGCATTTAATAAAATGTTAATTTTTTATGAAGAAGGGGAAGCAAGAAAGTGTAACTTGTATATCTCATAAAAAAAATAAATAAATAAATAAAAAACAAGAATTTCTTCATATTGTTTTGGGTCTAGCCATGATGTCGTATGTGTGTGTGATCATTATGTTGAGAAAACAGTAGAGATGATGTTCAGTCTGTTAAACACTATTATTGGAATGAGTTTAACAGAAACGTTTATGGATGTGTTGGTAATTTTCTGATTCTGCCTTTTCTATATCCATGATAACCATGTGTAACTACCCATTTGCATAACAGTAAATTAACAAGATATTTTAGAGGAGACTTCATACATTAGATACATATAGTATGATTTTATGACTTTAAGATAAACTCAAGTATAGAAATGTTAATGAGTACTTTCAGTTAATAAACATTTTCTGTGATTTGCAGGACGTCTTGAAGATAATTTTTTTTTTGGTATTGAGTGCTTTTTTTCAAATTTGCCTTTTTTATAATCAGCCAATTCCAGTTAATAATTAATAACTAGTTAGTAGTGTTGGGTATCGTACAGTTGTGTTGCAACATATTATAATACAGGATGCTGTATTATGACCATAGCAGTGTGTTATGACCACCAAGCTATACCAATTTGTGTACTTTGTACTATCATGCAATATATACTGTTGATTCTTATTCCCTTGACCTTTAGTTAGCATATCACTATTCCTGTTGTTATATAAATTTGATATGAATGTTGCAAATTTTATGAAATTATTAAATGACAGAAGTGTTGTTTTATTTTCAACTTAAGAAAACAAATTGGTGTGGAAATTAAATATTGGATATAACGTAGTCAGAACCATTGGAGAATTATCTGTGATCATGTGATTGGATACTTGTATAAATAAATGACCTGTGAGAATAATGTATTTTCATTTGTGAGTTCACCTTTATATTGAGGCACTCCTAATTGTACCATTTCTAGATATTTGGCAGGCTTGCTTTTTTTCTGCAACATTGTTTTTTTTTGTGAAATAGTGTTGTTAAGCAACTGATGTTGCAAGGGCAGTATGATTGCACTGATTGAGTTTTAATTGAACATTTGGCTATAGTATTCTTCGGTAATAGCTCGCGAGTTTTTTTTATGACAGAATGCAGACCTTTTTACTCTAACATTGTTGCTAACTCATTTAATGATATAAGAGTGGCATTGGATCAATTCGTGACTGAAGCTGCACGTACTATAACTGAATATTATTAAATCTATCTTCACAAGATTTGTCAAGCATTGTGTAAACACTAAGACTGTTACACACACACACACACACACACA